TACAAGGAAAAAGTTAAAACTCATTCAAGAAACTCGAACAAAAGACAAATACGAACAAATCTGATTGCATCGACAAATGAACGGCAACATGAGATTAAACTACCGAAAGACCACTGACAATCGCAAATTAGAATCAAGCATTGTGAGAAAATAATCTACGAATGCAAACCGCGATCTAAGTCCAATTCAAGGGTCCAAAGCAATGAAGATCAACATGATAACAAATAAGCGTCATCTTAATAAGTCGAAACGAGATCAAATTCGACCCTAAAAAATTATCAAACAATTAAAAACGTGCCATGATGACAAAAAAACGTGTCATATAGAGAGAGAAAAGAATGTCATAAACATAAAGTTATAAAAAATATAAAAATTACAAAAAATTAATATATATTCAATAAATTAAATGAGAAACAAATAATACATACGATAACCAATACTAAGACTAATACCACCGCCTATCATACCAAAATTGAAAAAAAAAGGAGGTGACTATAAAACAGAGGAGGAAAGATGCCGGGGGTTAATACATATGGTTTGTTATAAAAAAAAATCAACACATGTTGTGGGACAGAGAAAGTATCAAATTTAATTAAAAAATCAAATATTTATTACAAGAAATGTAGTTCACGTTCGGGATGTTAAAAAATATCTGATGTGATTGATCCGGTTTAACGACTTGAACTTAAAAAAATCAGATAATTTTGTAAAAAAATTATTCGAACGGGCCGGGTACCTGACCCATGATTTTTCTCAAGTAATTAGGTCGGGTCTAGGTCGATTTTTTATAACCAGGTACCCAATCCAACCCGAAAATATTAATAAAAATTAACTTTAAATCATTATTTTTTGTGTATAGATTGTGTAAAATGAACTTTTTTGTATTTTCGTGATTTTTTTAAGAAAAATAATTTTAAAAATAAATAAACCGGATATCGAGATCCAAAAATATGGATACCCAAACTTAATGAGCCGGGTCACGGGCCGACGGGTATCCGGTTTTAAACACCTCTAGTTCACGCTTGATTAATTTTGCCGCTTGCTTGTAAACGACAACGTATTACTTCACACAAAGGCAAGTCGACATCCCTGTGTCTTCCGAACACTCTGGAGGGGTAGGAATTTGAACGGGCATATATATCAAATTCCGATACTATCCCTTCACAACTGTTCCTCCATTCCTCTCTAATCAAGGTTAAATTCGGCACTTCATTAATTTGCAGCTACGGTCCCAGGAATAGCAAACGTTCCAAATATTTGAGGAAGGAAATGGAGGTGATATTTAACCTTCATTTTCCTTAACGGATTCTCTCTCGACGCGCCGCCGTCTGCTCCTTCTCCACAACTATCGCCGCTGCTCACGCCTCGTCGTAACTTCTAGAAGGATTATCTCTTTATCAGCATTTAAGGTAATGCGTTTCCTTTCTTTTTTGGTATACATGAAAGCCAATTTTATTTATGTTTAGTCTTTTCGTAATTTTGAAATGGTTTCTCCAGTTTTTGAATCAGCTGCTCTTAGCTCTGTATTGTTGTGGATGCGTTGCTTTTCTCATCTTCTAAACGGAGCTTTTAAAAGAAATATGTAGCTTTGAATAGTTCAAGGTTTTTATGTAAAAATAATTAGGAAAAATATTTGAATGAATTTTTCCCTTTTTAATTTCGTGTTGATACTCGTTTTATTAAGCGGTTTGTGAATTATTTTAAACAATGAAGTAATTGTATTTTTTTCAAATCCTTTTTCTTCTATAATTTTCCGTTCTGTTTTGAATTAATTAACATAGAAGTATGTTTGTACGTTAAAAAATCTCTGTTTTTCTTCAGTTTTCCGTTCTGTATGGCTGCTGTTTAATGAAGATGAATTCTCACGAGTTTTAATTTAGCTGTGTCCAACATGATTTTTTTTATTCACTTTTTCAATTGTCTAGTTTTGTATAGATGATTTATTTAGCTATGAAATTTCTGATTTAAAATGAGAAACTATTTACCAGTATTAATGTTTGAATTTTAGATTATCCATTATTTTCCTTGATAATACACAAGTTGTGGCTTATTTGTTACTACTAAAAGTTAACAGCTTTAAGCTTAATTGATTGAATTTTCTCAAGTTCATTAAAGTAAAATGTTCTCAATGTTGCAACAATGAATTTTTGTTGGTTTCCTTTACAAGTATTAATATTTGAATTTTAGATTATCCATTGTTTTCCTTGTTATCACACAAAAGTTGTGGCTACTTAGTTCTTACAGATAAAAGTTAACAACTTTAAGCTTAATTGATTGACTTTTCTCATGTTCATCAAAGTAGAACGTTTTCAAATGTAGCAACTACGAGATTTGCTTTGTTGCCTTTGCAAGTATTTAGAAGAGTTAATGTGAGGGTAATATTCCTTTCTATCATAGAAAAGTTGTGGTTAATTAGTTGTTACAACTAGAAGTTAACAACTTTAAGCTTGATTGGTTGAACTGCCTCAAGTTCATGAAAAGTAGAATGTGTCCAAATACAGCAACAATGGGATTTTTTTTGTTGCCTTTCCTTGAGGGCCTTCTCGTAAGAAAATGACGTGTAGTTTAGTAACTTTAACTTTTGTTGTTTGATCATGCAGAGCCATGGCAACATTTACGGCTATAGCTTTTGATAGGTTGTTAGAACCTGGAGCCTCCAGACCTGTCGAGAACTCCAGTTCTACTTTAAAACCACCTATCCACCCAAAGCCTACTACTAACTGTAAGATGGAGAGGTGCAGTTGGACATCAGTGAAAAGGAAGGCTAACCGCCCCCAAATTTCACCTTCCCCCTATGCTACACCTGAGGCAACCCCACTACCTGATTCACCATCTTCTTTCTGTCCTTCTCCTTACATTATCAATCACAAGCGTCGTGGGCCTAGCCTTTCAAAGAGCTTTTCTGAGGCTAATGTATCATCTTTGGAAAAAATCCTTGAAGAAGATGAGATTAATGGGAAAGCAAACCTGTTGATGAACGTAAGGATGGTTTGGTTGCTTTTAGCATTTCTGAACCTAATGAAGAGGAACAGGAGAATGGCGCCCCCCATATTTGTCCTATGAACATAGAGCCCGAAAATGGTGTCCATGGTGGTTACATTCAGGAGGTGTACACAAATGGTTTCCTTGATGGTGAAGTTAGAAGCAGCCAGATAAATAATGGTTTACTCATGGATGCTGTGCAGAAGGTTGGACCGTTGAACTTGGACATCTGTAGCGACAGTGAAGATTTCTTTGATCTGAATGAATCGATGAGTGTCACAAGTAATACTGAGGTAGGAGATGACACTGGCGCTGAAAGTGCTGCAAGGATTGTTACATCAGGGGTAGAGTTTTTTGATGCATGGGATGCTATGTTACTTTCACACGTATATGACATTAATATGTAGATGCACACACAGTCACACACACATATTAATCTTTTTCTTGCAGGACTGTTATTTGTTTTTAAAACCTGGTATGTATTTACTTGGGGCATGATACGAATGATTTTGTGCCAACTTTCTTGTTTATTTAATAGGTTCATGCATGCATATTTATAGGTATGGAATAGGTGAAATTATTGAGAAACACGAAAAATTTCCCCCACAGTATCTGCCTAATGTAATGACTTTGTTTTTCTTATGGCTAGCTTACTTAGATTTCTTGTTTCTTCCAGAATTATCCTGTGGGAGTGCACCACAGACTATTCGTCGTGACATTGAAGCTGAATTACGGGAAATGAGATTGAGTTTACTTACAGAGATAGAAAAGAGGAAGCAGACAGAAGAGGCTCTAAATAAGATGCAATCTAATTGGCAAAGAATCGGCCAAAAGTTGGGTGACGTGGGATTGTCTTTGCATGAGGATCTTCTTAATGCGACAGAGGATGAACTGGTGAATCAAGCTGAAGAATTGAGACAGCAAGTGTGTGCTGCACGGTTTGTATCATTATCTGTGGGAAGAGGCATCACAAGGGCAGAGATGGAGATGGAGATGGAAGCTCAAATCGAATCAAAGAACTTCGAAATTGCTCGATTATTGGACCGTCTACACTACTATGAGACCGTGAATCGAGAAATGTATCAGAGGAACCAAGAGGCTATAGGTGAGGATTTTGTACCCCATTATTTTTCTTTCCTTAGCAGAACAGGTAGTTTACATTTTTGCATATACTGCATGATATTTGCAAGACTCAGAATTTATCATTTCATACAGAGGTGGCACGGCGTGACAGACAAAGGAAGAAAAGAAGGCAGAGATGGGTCTGGGGTTTTGTTGCCACCGCAATTACCCTCGGGACAGCGGTCTTGGCTTGGTCTTACCTCCCAACAGGAAAAGGATCATCTTCTGATAGCATTTCCAAGAGTTCAGATGATAATCCAACAGCTAAGTAATAATTATTAATCACTTTTCCTCGTGGCATTATATGGTAACCTGATTTATCAAATGTATTCTTTGTTAATGTTAACCTGATTTTGACCACTTTTCCTCGTGGCATTATATCGATGATTTGATAAACAGTTAAATGGAATATAATAAATCAATTATTTTTAAGAATTTGTCAATCCTATGATTATGATGAGTGTTATAGTCTTTTCTTATCATTATGTAAAAATAAATATAATGTAAATTGTTGTATTTATTAAAATTTTAAACATGAATAATCCATATTTGCCCCACATTCATCTAGAGGTCAATTCTCTTTATGGAGTGCTTTAGAAGTAAACTACTCAGCACCAGGGTTTTAAATAGCCGTCCGCGACCGTGATAGCGCCCGCGAAATAGCGGTAGTGCTGCCTTCCAATATACCCACTATGGCCGCAATCGCGGTAAATGCGACATGACCGGAAACGCGACCGCGACCGCGATTTGAATCCCTGCTCAGCACATCAAAACGCATGTAGGAAGGCTAGGTCGCTGATGTCCATAATTGGTTTCCATAATTGTTACAGTTATTTTGTAGCCAATATTATTGTTTGTGTTAATTATTTTATTATTATTAGTTTATCAATTTATTGGTATTTTATTAGGAGTTAGTTTAATATTGATTCATTGAAAGTTTATTATTGTTAAAATCTTATTTAGTAGAAAGGGGTTGCTTGCTTTAGTAGGTCTTTTATTTTCACAAGGTATGCAACCTCTATTTATTACGATTAATAAAATACAATTTGCATAGTATCCACCTGAAAGATCTAAAGTCTCGGCCGCATTTCGTGATGCTGAAACTCATGGGCTCATGGTGGCTCGAACTTGGGTTTTCAGTGATGGTTGTTATAAACCTTTACAGTATGCAGGTTCATATAATGAACAAATGTTTAAGGTATTTTTCTATTTTGACTCCTTTATAGTTTACTTTGTATATCTTTAATGTACTGATCTGACTCGGATCTTCTCGGTTTTGGATTGTTTCAAAGGGATTGGATTTTTTAATAGCTGAGGCCAGAAAATATAGAATCAAGCTCACCCTGAGCTTAGCTAACTATGACAGCTTTGGGGGAAATAAAACAATATCCAAACTGGACAAGAAGTCAAGAAGTCAAACCCAATACCTCACATCTGATGATGATTTCTTCAGAAATCCTGTTGTCAAGGGATACTATAAGAATCATATAACTGTACGAATCTGTTCTTCTTTCCGGTATTTGATATCGGATTGTCATTTCTGATCATTTTCCCGAGCTGATAAAGCTGATTTTCTTTTTGCAGACCCATTCTCAAGAGATGTAACAGCTTTACAGGGGATTATTACAAAGACGATCCGACGATAATGGCATGGGAGCTTATGAATGAGCCTTGATGCACATCAGATTCCTTAGGAAGGACTGTTCAGGTTTATGAATGTATTTATTAGTGAACTTTTCATTTTTAGCTTTTCATGGTGCAGTAATTCACTGTAACTTTCAGTTGTTCATTTGCTTCATTGATAGGCTTGGATAATGGAAATGGCTTCTCATGTCAAATCCATAAACTCCTCAGCAGAAGAAACAACATCCCAGCTTGGATATCGGAACATGTTTAATTGAAAATAATCTGATTTCCGCCATCAATTTTGCAACGGTACATTCATTTCCTGATCACTGGTAACTATCGTATGAAACTTATCGAAGCATTCAGCTCATGAAATTAGTTTCCTCATTGTTTCATTAACAGGTTATGCCGCTCAAACGATGAATATCAGTTCTTGTTTTTAAACATCTAGCTCGATGCTACCATACAAGACGCACGATTCGTCTTCCGAAAGCCGATACTATTCACGGAATTCGGAGAATCATTTAAGGAGACCCCGGTTTCAACACTTGTAAGAGAGACCAATTGTTCAACTCTGTCATACTACAAGATATACTGATCAGCTGAAAGAGGTGGACCAGCTGGTGGTGGTCTGTTTTGGCAACTATTAAGTGAAGGCATGAACTCATTCAGGGATGGATTTGGGATTGCTCCAGGTGAGAGCTTTTCAACAGCTAGTACTTGGTCGACAAGCTCACAAGCTCGACCAAATCCGTAGGATCTTTATGAGAAGACGCATTGGAAACAAAACATTGAAACAGAGCACATATACGTGAGATTTTATACTTTGTTTTATAATATATCAATATCAAGTCGAAAAAAAATTATTAATAGAAAATATAAAAAATACCTAAATTATATATATCCGACACTTATTCGCCAATGGTTGGTCGTTGGCCTTGGCCTATGATGGTGAATACCAGTTGTAGTGTCCGACATGCATTCAACGTGAACAAATCATGATTTTTGAGGGGTTCTTTTTTTTTTCTATAAAGACATTGCAACGACTTAACAAAAAACATCAGAAAATCAAAGAAACAAGTTTCCACCATGCTTTCCTGTAATCCAAGTAACCACTATTCTTCTTCTTCGTCTCGATTTGACAAATTTCTAAAGTCTTTCTCCACCATTTTTCCCTCTGCAACTTCACCTTTCACTACCTATGCCTCAATCAGTGCTTCATTGATGCTCTTTCTATCCATATTCAACGATCTCATCCCGGACCCTCTGCGAAGGCACATATCTTCTGCTCTAAGTTATACTTTCGGGTTCTGTTCGGATAAACAAACCATTGTTATCGAACAATCTGATGGGATCATACCCAACCATGTTTTCAATGCATCAGAGGTTTATTTAAGTACCAAGACCAGCCCAGACGCCAAGAGACTCAAAGTCAGCAAACGCAAGAAAGACGAGTTTGTCATTCAGGCTCGACAAGGGCCAGAGAGTCACAGATTCCTTCCACGGGGCTGACTGGCTGAGCTCAAATGGAGACTCGTTTGCCATGAACCGGAGAGAAAAGGTAACAGTAGTGATTAGTCGAAGGACGATATTTCGAGTTCATGTGCTGAGATGATTGAGAGTGAAGCAAGGGTTTTGAAGATACATACTCTGGGGAATTCTCACTACTCCCGCAAGTTCATGTGGGAATCTATCAAGTTCGAACATCCATCTAAGTTTGAGACTTTAGTGCTTGATTTAGAGCTTAAAAACATGATTGGTGAGGATTTGAATAGGTTTCTTAGGAGGAAGGAGTTCTATAAAAAAGTGGGTCGATCATGGAAGAGGGGTTGCTTGTTGTATGGACCTCCAGGTACTGGTAAATCGAGCTTGGTTGCAGCCATGGCTAATTACTTGAAATTTGATATCTATGATTGCAGCTTGAGAACATAAAAAGGATTTGGGGAAGCTGTTGCTCGACATTGCGAACAAATCAATCTAGTGATTGAAGATATCGATTGTACTGTGAATCTGCCTGATCTTTCACGGGTAAGCGGAAATAAGCGTGGTGGCCAAGACACGCAGGTCAGTAGAGAACTTTTCCTGCATTTCCAGTAATTGAATGCATATTGTTACCCTGTGCTAGTGTGTTTAATGAGTTGAATCAACGAAGTTTACACTCTCTGGACTGTTGAACTTTATCGACGGTCTCTGGCCGAGTTGTGGAGACTAGAGAATCATTGTGTTCACCACTAACCACAAGGACCGGCTTGATCCCGCCTTGTTGAGCCCCGGAAGAATGGACTTGCATATTCACATGTTATACTGCACTATGCAGGCTTTCAGTATTTTAGCTTCAAATTACTTGGGCGTCGAAGGCTACCACCGGCTATTCAGGGACATCAAAGAGTTGCTGGAAGCTACCAAGGTGACTCCTGCACAAGTTGCTGAAGAGCTAACCAAGGACGAAGATGCTGATGTTGCACTCGAAGGATTTCTGAGTTTCCTCGAGCGGAAGACGACGAAATCGAGAAAGCTGAGACCTCAAAGAAACTTGAGAAAGCTGAGGCCTTGAAAAAACTCGAGATTAAAGAATCCGGAGAACCAAAAATGAAACACAAATGAGTTACTCCTAAGGTTTACATGTAAAATGAATTACTGGTAATTATATGATCATTTGGATTATGAATCTTAGTGATATATCCAATTCCCAAATTATTAATCCTAAAAATTCAATCGAATAAGCTTAGTGATATTCACTAATTTGACTATTTTGGAAAGTTGACAAAGTTTGAGTACTAAATGACAAATATTGAGAAAATTAGTGACTTAAGTGGTAATAGTGGAGTTGTTGAGGTATTGAGCTGGAAATTAGATGCTGGAAATTTAATTAAGTTGTTTGAAACTTGAATTGAAGCTAAAAGGCAAAGGACTATTTGAAATAAAATGGAAAGTTGATATGAATTCTAAAAGAATTCATAAAATGATAGTTAAAATGAAAAGTTGAAAAATATTATGTGAAGTTTGGATGAATTTGGATAAAAAGGATTTATTGGTCAATTTGAAGTATTAAGGTCAACATTGATGATGTGATATGAAATTCGTATCGAAAGAGCATCGAAAGGTTTTTAGGAATTTATTTTCTATTGTATGCCTATGTTAGTAAAATCCTAACATATGGTTTGAAATGTATATGTTATGTAAATGTTGTTCATTTTGATTATGATTGAAATCAAGATCAAGTAATGTTAAAGCTAAGGAGAAGCTTAAGAATATAATATGAAGTGCTAGGAAGGTTTACAAGCTAAGGACACTAAGTGAGTGTATATTTAATTTATATTTGTGTTATCGAGTAAACATTGGCTTGCAATGAGCTAGTGACAGAATTACTATGGTAAGAAGTAACTTATAACTATTAGATAAATAGTGATTCATATATATATGTTAAGTTAATATGCTAATAGAATTAGTGAATAAACTGAAAATATAAGTTAGTGAAATCTGTCCAAATTTGTGTTATGAACAGTAAGTTTAGAAAATCATCATAAATTATATAGAAATGATTAGAATATGATTTTTACATTGTTGGAATCATATGTCAATATAGTTTTGTTTAAAATAAACGGATACTGATTTAGATATATATGAAAAAAGATATGAATTTTTAATTGATCATAGGTCATAAAGCAGGACAACAGATTCTGTTTAAAACAACTTATGTATGTCAACTTCGAAAATTCACTATAAATTGTATAAGATGAACTAGAAAAACTGTCTTATATAGTTAGATTTGTATTCGAATCTAGTTTCTAGTGATATAAATGGAATAATTTTTAAGTGTGTATATTAATACAAAATAATATTTCTTTGCAAGTAGTGCATACTGCTAGCATATAAAACTTGTCATAAATTATGTTTTCATGTTACTCTTATGTTATAGGTTATTATAAATGCTCAAAATAAGTCAACGTTATTACAATCGGTATGATAGTTATAATATTTATTACATGATGAATATAATGTTTATATGTTAAAGAAAAATAATTGACGATGATTATAATATATAAATGTTATGTAGAAATGAAATGTTTAGGGTACGAACTGTCTATTATGTTATGATATGAAGAGTTGTATATGTTGATATATTGATATCTTTGATAATTGAATAATATATAATAATTAATGATTCTATTATGATAAATAAGTCCATTGTATGTTGCATTGAGAGTCGTAAGTATATTTAGCATGCCATTAAGTTGAGTACTTTTCGGTTATCAGTTAAATTATGATACATTCGTGTGCATTACGATCTGTACCGTTAGTGCTCATGATATGATTGCACTTGGAGTACATTATATGTTAGAGTTATGACAAGATTAGTAACATATCCAAGTTGATGATCCCCTAATAAACATCTTTTCATGGAGGTTGACAAATATATATGAGCTACCTAAAGCTCTAAGTCTTAATAACCAGACTTTGAGCCTACACCAGTAGTTTTCATAATTTGAAAGGCCGGTATCATTTTTGTTGTGTAAAACCTAAAGTTTCTCAACGGGGGGATGTCTAAATTCCATTAAAGCAGCGATTAACAAAATACTCGGCACAAGACTGGGGCACAAGGCATAGTCCTCTACTTCTAAGATCAGGCGTCTGCTCTTCTTTGCCTTGTTCTTTCAAACGCTACAGATAAGAAGCAAAGATTGTAATTTTCACCTGTCAATAATGGATTTCCTAGTAAATTTTCTGGTCTTTATCGAGATAGATAGGAAATACCGTTTGCATTGTTCTATAAAGCTTGCTTTGTGATGATTTCATAAATGGCACACTCAATGTCTGCAAAGGAAATGTAAAAAAAAAAAACTATTCAGTATCCCAAAGAAACAATAGCCATCAAGTGTGGATGTAGTGATAAAAGGAGAGAGAATAAAAATAACCCAAAGAGAGTAAAAGAAATAAAATACCTCAACTTGGTCATGGAGGAACTGGATGTACCCAATGGCTTCTGTTAACACTGAAGCAGTATCTGTCTGGCAATCACTCCGTACATAAACTTAGATATATAAGTATGGCTCAATCAATGTTTTTAAATTTACATATATATATATATTTAAAAATTTAAAAATATGTCTCATCTCATTCATAGTGGGATGGTAATGGGGAAGTAACATGGATAGAAATGTACCTTTCCAAATGGTGCCGTCAGCTTCTGAAGTGCAGCAACCCTGTCTCCTAGTTTCTCCTTTCTAACCTAAGGTAAAAAACCCAAGGTCCAAGCTTGTGAGAATTTGCATAAAAATGAAAAGGAAACTACGAATGAAGCATTGGTTAACATTAGTTTCACCTTTAACGTTGGACACAGGGATCGTGACTTCGAGGACCGACGCTTCTTGGCTTCTGTATGGGATTCCTTTGTCTCGGAAAAGCAACCAGGTCTCTTTGCACTTGTCGTTGATCCACTAACAAAGGTTGATACCTTTTATGAAGATAAAAAGAAAATGCTAAAAATAATAAATGGAAATAGCTTTCAAATGCATGAAAAAATATCAATTAGGTATAATTATGAATAAGAGAGAAATTTATAGAGACATACTTTGGAAGTGGTGGATGGACTGTCATTACTTTCTCTTCTAGGATCATGGCCCATAAGCACATTTCTGCTTAATTTTCCAGGATTTTCAACTAAAGATTGATTGCAACTCCCACTATCATATGTAGAGTTGAAAAGATCCAAGGATTTCAAGTTCAAGTCCAAAGAGTTTGAAATCAATGTGGAGCACATATCATTGGTAGCAATATTTGTACTTGGAAAGATGTGATTGAAATCATATCTGCTAGCTGCTGCAGTTCCCAAACATGGGGAGTGATCATTAGCATTAGTGTACAAGTTTCTGGAAGAGAGCTGCCCCTCGGTCATGTTGTTAGCGATGGAGAAATTTTTGTGCCGTATATTTCCTCCTAGATTTTGATCAGTGGATTGTGGATAGTGTTTTTTAGAAACTAAATAAGGGTCCTCTGCGCTAGAGTTGCAGTACATCACCTCACTCAGTTTGGGGAAAGAGCCTGGCATGTCATCTTTGGTATTTGCAAGGAGAAACTCGTTTGCAGATTGTTGGTAGAAGCTACCCTCATTCACCGAGGTCCTCATCAAAGGCCATGTCCATAGTTCCCTTGATTTCGGGATAGGATCAACTGGATTCCTATTGTATCTACCACCGATACTCCTGCATGAAAGAAATAACAATAAACACAACATATTCAACAAGAAAACATTACTCAATTTACCAGTTTACTGAAAATTTAAGAACAAAGAAAGAAACTTGTTGATACACGTATTTCTATAGGTCTTGGGATCAATCATGTAACATATTAGCATAAAAAAATCATCTCGAATAAAACTACTGAATATGTCTCAGATTATCATATCTTAATGAGTTTGTTTCCTTCCTTTTCCCTTTTAAATCACTAACTTCAACCGGCTCATGGCTCGTGAATAGAAAAACATGAAAAGTTTGTAGAACTAAACATGATATATAATCAGATGAACAATTAACATATAATTTTTCGAGGTAGTTTAGTACTTACGGAAAGAGGTCGTGCTTCCATTCATCTGCAGTTGATATTTGATGACCAATTTGAGTTACCATAGAGGTGTACTTAGCATACTGTTCTTCAACCTTGAATTGAGAATGGAGATTTGAAGAGTCCATGGTGACTTCAAAAAGAATGCAAAAAATAAAAACAAGAAAGCTTGTCCCTTGATTCAAGAAAGTAATAGTATCAAGTAACCACTTTAGCCTTCAAACACTTTAGCTTGCTCACTTTATTTCCTCTCCCTGCAGCTGCAAAGTCTCATTCACTTCTGCAAATGAGGTTGCCAAGAAACTTTTATAGCAGCTTCAGTTTCCAGTGAAGTACCCTATAATTGTTGCATATGCGTGTGTATATATATATTGGATTTTCTCTTTTTGTCTTCTCTATTATCTCCACAATCACATAGATGGATGAGACATGATTGGAATCCTGGTTTTGGAACTAAAGTAAGATACTCAAAGGAAGGGTCTGAATTCTGAAAGAGGAAAATTCTGGTTGAAAATGCTGTATTCTTTTCAATCGAAGACCCTATATTCTGCAACATATTATGTATAGGCATATTGTAGGGTTATCATTCTAAAAGTTAAAAATATAATTAGTTTGTTAAATCATAGCCAATATTTCACCAGTGCAGGTGGATACTTTTACTGTATATATGAATATGATTAATTGTTTATAACTTTATATTTTGTTGCACATCCATTACAAGAGAAATGGTACTTTACTTTGTATGCATGAATTTCTGTGAGCGGGCTATCGTTATTTTGTGATTTCATATTTTTTCTATGGCCGATGTTCACTGCAATTGACCTCCATAACTTAAGTTATTCTCGTCCTCTGGACTTCGGTTAAGCAGGCAATATTTAGAATGGTTTGATCAGCTCAAGCATGCATCAATGGAGAGCCTAAACATTAAAAACTAGCTAATATTGAAGGTACTCAACTTTGACAATTGTTTTATTAAACAAAATTATGGTTCCTTTTCACCAGAAAGAAGCCTATATATAATAATAAAAATAATAATCAAATTATATGAAACCCCAAAAAGTTGGCTCATAGGAAAAAAAAAGGTAGATATGGGCAAGATTGCAAATTTGTTGTTTGCCTTCTCTTCTACTTTCCCCTGCAGGCAGAGGCTGTCCACCATCCACCACTTATTTCCATTCTTTTCTATTTTTCGATAAAGGGTTGTCCGAATATGAATCCGACTCGATTTTAACCCGTCTTTTTGTCACTACACCACCAGATTTGTTCACCACCACCACTTAGTCCCATGCTTTATAACCAGTACTTTCTGCATCAAATCATATATGTATATAGTTAAGCGAGGGCTTAAAACTATACAATTATTGGATGAACATTGGGATACCAAGATGACATTTTTGTTGATGTTAATAAAAGTGGGATGGAGTTTGAATATTAAATTCAAAGTAAGAAAGAGCACCTACACTGTCTATTCCACTTGCATTATATAGGCCGCCCCCTATTGGAATCCACGCTGGGATGCATTATATGCTAATGCTAAAAAAATAATGTCAAGGGCATAAAATACTGTAATCTTTCTGCTACAATACAAACACACAATAATCTTTCTACTACTAAATATATCAGTATACTTTTTTCTGTCGTTCTATGTAGTAGTATAAGCATGCTTAAATAATTCTCTACTTTTTTAGTTGAATATTGAATAGGAAGATTCCCACTTCTCTGCAGTTCCCTACACCACAGAAGTGGCATCTTTCATCGGTTGATGATCTGCAGAAACACAAGAAGAACAATGTAGAATTTCGATGAAAGGATTATAGTGTTATAGGGTCTCGCTTTATACCCTTTGTTTGGTCTTTTCTCGAATTTGTTTAATAAGTAATTAATTAATCTTGAACATAATGGATGGAAGCAAAGCATCATGATGAAGGTGAAACTGGAGATGGAAAGGAAGGGTTGTAATGAAGTGGCAGAGAGCCTGGAAAGGAGGTGTAAAGTTGGGAGCATTAAAGTGGTTCTAAGAGGAAGAAGACAAGGGTGTGTTTGAGTCTTCCTAGAACAATAAATGCCGGCAGTAAATCCTGGTATCAGGGATCATGAGATTTGGTGACTTCTAACCTTTGACTTTCCTTAAGATATTGAATGATTGATCTCATAATTGCTTAAGGAAATATTTAGCTTATTCACATCTCTGCACGATGCAATCTATAATTCGTTCGGATGATCCACCGCAGTTGAAAAGTTCAATCTCTAGGGTTGGACGATAAGATAACACATTCGTTTGGGAGTCACTTCAGGGGTTTCTATCATGCAGTATTTATAATACGATATATATATATAATATGTCGTTTAAAAAATATATATAATATATAGTTTTGAAATATATATATATATATAGTTTTTGAAAATATATAATGTATATAGGTTTTAAAAAATATATAATTTTTGAAAACGTATTATATGGTTTTTGAAAATATAATATATTATATAGTTTTAAAATATATATTATATTATTATTATTACTTTTTATTTTATTTTATTATTGTTTTTGTTTTTATTATTTACTTTCATTTTTATTTTTATTTTAGGTCCAACTAAAGTCCAGATCCAGGAGTCCAAATGGGTCCAAGTGATATGGTCCAGTAAAGCATGGAGAAGGCCTGTCAGGTACAATAAGGAAAGCTTGTTTGTCTGACCCAGCGAGTTAGGGTTTGTAGCTTATGCCCAACGCCATACAAACAAGGGCCGTCAGATTTGAAAAGGCGTCGATGGCCCAAATCTCACGAAGATTAGGGTTTTTTAACCTTAATCATAAAGCAAAAGCACCGCAAGCCTTAGAACCGTTGGATCAAACTTGGTGATCCAACGACCACAAACTCATCAAGGAAACCCAAGGGCCACTCAACCTGCCACCAAACCATGCGCCAACAGGAGCATCATCACCATATTTCTAAATTTTTATTTAAACTTCAAATTTTCGCAATTAAGATAACTTGGTAATCGTGTGGTACAGAAAGGGCGATTCGATGGTGCTCATCCTTCATCGATCGTAAACGACTTCTGAATCCAACAATTCTCTGATAAAACGTAGATATGGTAAATTGACAATCTACCTCGTTCAAAATAATTGGTGGATACTCCATCACATTTAATTCCAAATTAAAACTTGAACTCGAGGCCGCCCCGAAAGACCGTTGCGACAACAACTTCCTATATTATTCAAGGGGCTCGCGATAAGATGTGTTAAAAATCCTCCTCAAGTGCAAAATGAAAAAGGAAATATTCATTATGTGATCAATCAAATTGATCTCACCTAGTGGATTCCACAGTGCTTGGATTCTATTTAGGAGGATTCATAGGGTTCATAAAGTGTCCAAAGTTACTTCTCAGGCCCTTGAATGTTCATAATTAATATGTTTTGATCCTTAATGCATGATGATAAGTCTTAGGTCCTAATTTGAATCAAGTTTATGTTAACTAATGTTAGTATATGTCAGCTGATCAAATAGTTATTTTATAATTTTTATAGTCAAATAATCTAATTATAAAATAATAATAGTCAAGGTTTGTATTTTACTCTAATTATGATTACATTCTTTTTAATTGTATCAAACACCATTAAGAATGAATATAAATTTTGTTTTATTTAGAATTAATATTATTTTATGTATAAAATTATCATATTTTTTATAATTATTGATATCTGATATATTAATTGATTAATCTAGATCAAATATTATAACTTTTACCAGACAATTCTCATACTAAATTATAGAACGAAATTGATTATTGAATCTTTGAGAGACTCTTGATTAGGGATGGCAAACGAGTATAGTTTCGTGGATTCCGCACCGCATCCGCTCCAATTGGAGCGGGGATGGGTATAATTTTAGCGGGTAGTGGGCGGGTGTGGATTTATAAAGTGGTATCCGTCGTAGGTGGTGGGCGGGTAATGGGTTTGAGACATTACCCGCCCCGCATCCGCCCTGCATCCGCCCGCACCATATCCGCCCGCCCAGCTAAATATCTATTAAATTTTTGGACCATAATGAATTTAGGTGTAATTTTAGAGACTAATTTATAAATTTTAATATTTTATAATATATAACATATAATTTAACCAAATATTAAGGATATTTAGTCTTTAATTTGGTCTTTAATTAGGGAAATATTCGGCTCTTTGATTAAACCCATAATCCCACTAACAACGTCACTTTCCATGTTCTTTAGCCCATGCTGCCCATCCAAACACAAATTAACCTTACTATAAGCATTAACATCAAAAGCAACAGTTTTCATGTTTAGCCCTTCACAACCCATATTAGGCGCACTATGAGCATTAACATCGAAAGCAACTCCACAATCAAACTCTGCGACTACATGCTCCCGACAATTTGTCTCCATAACATTCGTAGAGCCACTCCTCTGACAAATTGAAGCATGCGTTGCTACCCCATCATGAACTGTCTGGGAACCAACTCCAACATCCCATTAGTTTGTTGTCAGGCGGTCTAGATGGATATGTCACTAGTGGGTAGTGGGTGTGGGGATAGATTTGAAAATGTACCGCGTGGGCGGGTGTGGATTTAAAAATTTGTACCCATCATGGGTGGTGGGCGGGCGGTGGAATGAAAAATATTAGGTGAGTATGGGGATGGGGGAGGGGGTATCCGCACCCGACCCGCCCGTTTGCCATCCCTAATCTTGATGCTATTGATCACCTGTTAATTGTGAGTGTCTATTCCACTGAATCTTCCCATCATAATTCCTAATTTTCTTCATCATCTTTATCCACAATATGAAGTGCACAATGCTTGTGTAACTAGTGCAGAATAACAAATCATGTGTAGCTGTGAATTGAAGTAACATGTTATCCCAAAATAATATTAGTGCGCGCGTCTAGAATCGTAATCATTTGGAGTTGTGAGGATGAAAGCAAGCCAGGTCCGGCCGAAAGCGGTGGTGCACGTGTCGCCGCCGTCTTTGCTTGGGATTTGAAGTGGTGAGAAATAGGATATGTCGTTGGATTGGATTTATGATTGAAGGAAAAGCAAAGGGAACAATGCCTGAGAATATGTGCAAAAGAAACATCTTTTCTTTCTCAATGCGAAGCTTTCTTTTTCAAGTAGAGATTTTTCTTTTACCATTTTCACTTTTTGCGTCTTTCATTTTCAAAACAAAGTAATTTCTACTGTTAGTTAATTTCTATTATTACCGAATTATAAGCTTGCAAAAGAATAATCCCAATTTAGTAACTTCCTTTTTCTTTTTCATTGTAGGATTAGTACACAAGAAGATAAAGTCTTCCATTTTCCCCTTAATTGTGGAAAGTGTAAAGAAGATTGAAGTTCCAACTTCCAAGTTTGTGCGTGGCAAAAGCTTAAGGCGTTGTTTGTGCATGACGATATATATAAACCACAAAGATCAAAACAGTACGTAGTAGTCCTTTTACAGCTTAAGGGAAGTGCCGTGCGAGCGTCACGTCCCAGCTCTTTCCTTTACATGCTCTCC